AAAAAAAAAAAAGTAAACCTGTTCTGGGCAAAATGGAACCGGTTGTTTTTCCAGTGGCCGTCAAATGGCACAAACTCCCTAGTGACCTCTCCTTTCTGTTGCAGCCTCATCATGTTTTACTTCATCGCCCTGGCCGGAGCACACAAGCGGGTGGTGGTCCAGCTCCGAGAGCAGCTGTCCCTGGTAAGGAAGAGCAGGTCCAGAGGGTCATGGCTGGGGACATCTACCCAGGACACCTCAAGAAAAGTGCTGCTTTCCCCAGGGAGAGGGTAGAGTGCCGTGGCCCTGCTCACCACCGCTTCCCAGAACTGCCTTCGGCCCAGGCCTTGTCCAGCTTCATTCAGTCATGGGCTCATCCATGCCTTCAACGTGTGCTTTGATCACTGCGTGCTCCTCATACTGTGCTAGGATACAGTGGTGACCGAGAGAGATGAGACTGCTAAATAGTTACAGAAAAACCCAATTCCAATAGCGGGAGCCGCTGTGAAGGTAATACGGACGAGGTAGTTAGATGAGGAGCGGCCCTCTGCTGCCGTAGATGGTGGCTGCGGAGGGCCTCTTTGCGGAGGTGACATGGGAGCTGAGACTTGAAGGACGAGGAGCCGATTGTGGGAGGTCTCGGGGGTGAGAGTAATAGCCAGAGGGGACAGCGAGGGCATTCCCAGGAGCTGGACGACAGGTGGCATGGCTGGAGAGGCAAGATGATGCTGGATTATCAGCTGGGGTCACAGCACAGGGTGAGGGTTCTGGTGACAAGTTTGGGTTTAATTCTGAGTGTGATGGGAAACCACTGAAGTGTGTTAAGTAGCAGTCTGATGTACATTTCTTTTTAAGATTATTTATTTATTTAGAGAGAGTGTGCGTGAGCCAGCGAAGGGGGAGGGCAGAGGGAGAGAGAGAATCTCAAGCGTACGCCACACTGAGTGCAGATCCCAACTCAGGGCTCAGTCTCACACGGCCTTGAGATCACAACCCGAGCAGAAACTGAGAGTGAGATGTTCAACCGACTGTACCACCCAGGCCCCCCATCAGTCTGACGTACATTTTTTTTTTTTTAAGATTTTTTATTTATTTGCGAGAGAGAGAATGAGAGACAGAGAGCATGAGAGGGAGGAGGGTCAGAGGGAGAAGCAGACTCCCCGCCGAGCAGGGAGCCCGATGTGGGACTCGATCCTGGGACTCCAGGATCATGACCTGAGCCGAAGGCAGTCGCTTAACCAACTGAGCCACCCAGGCGCCCTGACGTACATTTTTAAAAAGACTGTTGGCCCCTTTGTGGACAAGGGGCTGTGGAGGGGCAAGAGGGCAAGAGGCAGACCAGTCTGGAGGCCGTTACCACCGTCCAGTGGTTAGGATCCTTAACCCCGAGTCTGACAGGGAATTGACTAGGTTGAAATGATGATATTTGCTTCCAAATATATTGAATGTGCTCTCGCACCGATTTCTATCTTTAGGAAAGTCATGACAAGCGTTACCTGATCCAGAAACTAACAGAAGCGCAGAAGGATATGAAGAACCGACTGGACCGGCAATGAGGATCCTTCCACGTGTTGCTCATAAGCTGACCTGGTGACCTGCCGAGCCTACAGAGTCCACCTGGGTTTGGAGCAGAACTTTTAAAATACATTTTTCTGGAGTTCAGGTCTTCCCTGAAGGTGGCTCCCTGAAGGTGGTGGTGGTGTTTATGGCACCCAGCCCCTGGGGAGGGCTTTCGTGACTTAGAAAAAGCAGGTTCAAACCAAGTGTTTGCCTGTAGACCAGCAGCTTAGTGACTCTCCCCCAAAACTGACTTATTAAGCCGTTTAAGGTGTCAGAACAAAAGTTGAGGAGGGAGAGCCCTTTTGTATTTTTCAAAGCTTATTTATGTTGTCTTTTACGGTTAACATTAGTAGAGGTCACCCATTCATGAGGCTGAGTTAGTTCTTTTGCAACCAGGTTCTGGGGGTTTAGGCTGAGAAGTGTTCCTTAAGAAGTAGTAGCCCTTTTGACTTAAAATGAGACCTGATTTTTTTTTTCATAAAGAGGGATCCTTGAATTGGGATGTTTGGAACAGATGGTGGAAACATGGAGAGGGTGGGTGTGTGATCCTAGCTACCTGGTGATAATATGAGAGAGAAAAGCCATTCCTGCTGGGTGAATAAGCAGTCTCTGAATACCCTGGATGAAGCTTTAGGAGGAGGGGAATGGCTACGGATTGAGGGCCTTGACGTCTTAGCTTCCGGGGCATTTTGCTGTAGCCTTCTTACTCAGGGGGAAGCTGTCTCTACAGTGCTGGGTCCCTTCTGGTCCTGAGTTCTGAGACTTAGCAAAGGGCCCTGGGTCATCAAAATTAAGAGGCAAAGTTTGTCTTTCAAGTCTTCCAAATGCCATTTCCCTCACTGCACTGAGGTTCCCAGCTCTAAAGGACACTAAACATTCCAGGCTGGAAAGGGCGGTTGAGTACGTGCACAGAGCATGGAGCTCCATGGTTTACGTGCGGGACTGTTGGAGGCTGTGGGTTGCAGCATCAGACCGGCCTGTGTCCGTGTCCCAGAGTACACAGAATGCTGGCATCTTCAAGGCACATATCCATATTTTAAGGGCTATTGTTTTGTGCCGAAAATTTTGACTTCTATTTTATAAAATATGCAGAGTATAGCTTCAGGGTTTCCATTACAGCAAAACAAAAACAAAAACCAAAACCCATGTGCAATAAATACCTCGTCATAAGCTTACCCGAAATTGATAGCTCTGAACCTTTCAGTATAAGCCTAAATTATTGTTTCGTGTAATCAGTTCTCATCTTAGTATCTTCAGAATCTTTTCCAGAGTACTTAGTTTTGTAACAGACTGCATGAGCCTTTCTTCTGTTGTTTTCCTTCCTTTCACTGGTTCAAAACCTTTTCCTAGGGAGTAGCCTGGAGTTTAAAGCTGGGTACATATTTTAGAAAGCTGCCCCTAAGAGTATTTCCCACCCCCACTCCTACCCTCCATTACTCCAAAATGATTGACTCCTTGCTCTGAGGAGCAAAGCAAGCTTGCCATAGCTTACACATTTCTGTATATTTGCCCCTTTGCCACATCATTTTCTCACTCTTCCCCAAAGTTAGCATTAACACGGGATATTTATGTACCTGTGAGACCAATGAGCTTTTCAAGCTAATAACTAGTATCATGGAATTTTGAGTAACCAAAAGTTCATTCTGTCCTCACTTGAAAAAAATTCTAATTGGAGTTAGGGACTAATATGCGTTTTTGTCTAGCACACTTACATACATATATGTTTTTGCCTTCACCATGATTCTGAGGACAGTCAAGTTGTGTGTGTGTGTGTGCGCGTGCGTGCGCGTGTGCATGTATGTAAGTGTGTGAGATGGAAGCTCCGTTCTTTCCCTCTTATAAAATTGATACTGATGTATGCTAATATATTCATTTTGGTTAAATGCTGCTGATTTGCATACCTCTTACTTGAATGTTTTTATATATTTTGATAACTTTAATAACTTCAAGTGATGTCTGTGTAATTGTTGAAGTGCAGGTCTAACAAATGTGCCTTAAAACTACTGATTAAACAGTATCTTGAAGGTTTTAAAGTGTGTTTGTGTATATTGGAATTCATGGAGGTTTCCTGTCAGCCATCAAGTGATCATAGAAAACTACAGCAGTTTGTAAAGTCGCTCTTTGCCTTTTCCTAGAATCACAGAAGTGTTTAATGCAATCATCAGATGAGTGCTTTTAAGACTCCTTGGCTGTGCTGAAGCCAAGGAGGGGTATATGTGTGTGTTTTAAACTGAAAAGACATAAAGTTATTTCAGGCACTCCCCTTCCCATTCCCCACTCCCCAGAGGGAACCACTGCTAATGATGTTTAATTTATTCTCCCAGAAAATTATAATCCATATTCAAGCAGATATATATGTGTGGTTGAATGTATGAAATATATGTTTCTGAGCTTCTCCCTTTTTTCTCCTTAATAACATCTTGAAGATCTTTCCATATAAGTAGCCACCTCATTCTTTTTAATACACACCATTCCATTGTATCAGTGTGTAAGGGTTAGCTCCTTGCTGGATACTTTGTTTTCAACTCACCAACATCCCCTATCCTGTTACAAACAGGGAGAGCTGGAATTTTAAAAGTCCCTGCAAGCCTGTCTCTGTTTCTCTGTTCTGCCCCATTCTCCTAAAGAACAGGTTGTTCTTTATCAAGGCAGGCTTCCATATTCTTGAAATCACAAAATATTCTCATCCTAGCAAAGAGAAGAATTCAGTTAGGCAAGCTTTTAGTTGGCAATATCTGATTGCAGCTACTCACAAGTAAATAATGATGAAGAAAGGAATTAATTTTGCCAGAGTGGAGCTGCAAGATCTGATCCCTGGGAAGATAGGACTTCTGAATGTATCTTTAGATAGGGTATGGCTTTGTTAGTAAATTCCATCTGGTGTATTTTCTCTCCAACGCATGGCGTGCTTGGGACCTGGGATGGCTTTGCTACTTGCTTAATTGTATAATTTTGTACAGATGTCTTCACTTTTCTGAGATAAAATTCCCTTATCTTTAAATGTAAATTAATACATATATTTACTTTTATTTTTGAGAATGGAGTTAGGGACCAATATATATTTCTTTTTGAAATTTTGTTTTCTTATTTTAAAAACTCATTTATTATAGAAAATACAGAGGACACTGAAAGCTACAGAGAAGTAAAAAATCACACATAAGCACCATTTATGGACATTAACTGTTAATCTTGCCAAGTTCCTTTTAAGATAAAGAGCACAGAGGGAGGATGGGATGAAAAGAAAGAAAAAAATATTGGTATTCTGATTTCTTTTTCACTTACCATGTTTTTTCAAAAGTTCTTTATAAACATTTCAATGGGCTACATAATATCATACAGATGGGTCATAATTTTTAACTTTCCTTTGCTGCTTAACATTTTGTTTTCAGATTTTCCTGACAATAACTGGGACATCTATAAATTTTTTTGTTAACGCTTTAAGGACAGAGACCTAGAAGTGGGATTACGACAAAGGTTTAGAAAGAACGTTTTAGGGCCTTTGAGAGGTTTACACTCTCAGTAGCTTTACATGAGAATGTTACATCATCCTCGCTTTCACTAAGTATTGGGTTTAAAAAACTATGGAATAGTTCACCATAATTTGAACGTATTGTAGTTTGTTAGAGTAGTTTGAAAACAACCAGCACCTTTCATAGTGTATATTAAATGTTTTATAGTAACTCGGAAAAATGATATAATCCAAGGGTGTAAAGTAGAAAGTGAAAGCTCCCTTCTCACAATCCCAACCGTCTAAAATTACCAATATTAAATGTTTTGTTATATATCCTTCCAGATATGCATCTTTGATTTTTTCCTTTCATATATATACCCTACACATTTGAAAAATTATTTCTATTGGATAGATCCCTTGAAGGAGGGTTGCTGTATCAGTGGATATGCATTATTTTAAAAATATACAACAAAACTTTTTTCATAAGTCTTTTTTAGTAGTTTTAGAATCACAGTAAAATTGACAGGAAGGTAGAGATGTCCCATATACCCTTTGCCCTCCACATGCATAGTCACCCCCAGCAGAGTGGTACATTTGTTAGAATTATGAGCCGACACACACAGAGTATGCAGGTTATGTTATACGTCCTGTCTCCCCCCACCTATGCCCCCCAAAACAATTTGCACCGATATGAACACCAACAGTAAAGTGGAAACAAACAAAAAAACATGTTCTTGGTACAAAACCTAAAACTAGAAAGAAGATAAAGCTGTTGGCTGTTAGCCCCACCACCTAGAGGCACTACTGACCACGTGGTGAGTTTAATTTTATCATGCAATTTCTACTATTTTAAAGTCGCTGTAGGATACACATAGAGAAAACTCTCCTTCCATGTTGGTAAAGCAAAAAATACAATGGCTGTGCCAATAAGGAATCCCTTCATGATCCTTTTTCCCAGGAATTTACTCTGGCGGGATCTTGAGAAGAGCAATCTAGTATCCTCATCTCCCTCGCAACCCAAGACTCTTTTACAACCGTCGGTCTACTGAGTGATTGATGGTGATCATATTCAATATCATCTTCTCACTTGCCCTTTCCAGCCAATCGAATGGAAGCGGGGGCTTAGGGGCGTGTCCACCGATGCAAAGGCACGCAGCGTATGTCTTACGTCTGCTGTGTGTCATCAGTCTGCGCTGACCGCAGTTTAGCCCGCCTCGCACAGTGGAGCTGTTACCTTGTCACGACAATGAGCTGGACCGCGGCGGCGGCGGCGGTTCGCTCCCTGTGGCGGCTGCGCACGGGCGCCCTGCGGCCTCTCTCAGGTAAAGGAGGAGCGCGGCCGCGTACGCGCGCTGTACGGGCGGGCCAGGGGATTTTCGCCTGTGACCTGGGCCGGAGAGGTCACGGGGGCAGACGTTCATAGACGTCATAAGGCTGCGACGGAGCGCGACTTCGAGGCGTGAACCTTGGGGCGGTGATAGGCGGGGTGGGAACTGTAGTGTGTTGGGAGACTGCGGGGCGGGAGGAGCGTGGTGTTCGGCAGGGTGAAGCTGTCAGCTCACAGTCGACGTTCTGTGGATGACATAACTGCACACCCGTGCCGGGCCGTCACTGCAGGTGTGGTCGGCATTCCAGGCTGAGCACAGGTGGCGACCTTGAAAGTTCAGTGCCCTACGGGTGTCATCGTAACCTTCGCTCAGGGCATTGCTATGCATAGCGTGATCATGCGATCGGCGGCATGGGCTTGTTAGAAGTGCAGGTTCAAAGGACCCACCCCTGACTTACAGGGT